TATCCTGATATAAATCGAACATGTTGAAGTACTTGAATCTTTAACTGCTTCCAGGCAATCATCTATTCGAGGCATCGGATGGAAAACAACTTTAGTCATTCGATTGACGTTCTTAAGTCATTTAACAATCTATACGATCCATCAGATTTAGGAATGATAAAGGCTGAGATCCACCAGGAGCATCCGACGGTTCAATAATATCTAACTCAAGTAGATCATTGACTTTGCAAGCTTTTCGAATGTGAATTGAACAGGATACGGTTTCTGAAAGGGAACTTGATAATCTCCAATATCAATTTTAATCGGCCACTTTTCCCATGGAACGAAACCTAAATCTTTCGATGCTTTGAGAAAACATCAGTAAACTCATTAGAAGTTCTAATAATTTTCACTTGATCTCTTTAAATCAGGATTCATTCTTTTCTTTAATCGTTCAGATAATTCAGGAACTTCTTCTTTCTATTTGTTTGGAAATAAACAGAAATTTGATCCAATTCTTTAGTCTCTTCCAATGTCTGAATGAAAAGCTTCGCTTTCGGGTTTTCATTTGAATGAATTAACTTTTCATCTTCGACTTTTGGTTTCCTTAGAATACCACTTTCGACTCGTCGACTCAATTCAATTGATTCTTCTGGAGTACAGAATCTGAATAGAAGTTCATTTGAAACTGGATCACTATCGACATATTCTTGTAAAGAGACAGAATAATTTCCACCATTGTTTTTGATTGTCGTGTAAAACATATCATTGAAACCATTTCCAACCACCATGATTGGTTCTAAATTTCGGGCTATTTGAAATCGTAGTGCTTTAACAGTACCCATATCTTTGTGTTTCATGAGAGCATAAGCGGCTCCTTCAATATCAAGATAATTGTTAGCAACTATACCTTTTACCGAAACATTTGATCTCATAATGAATGCATCCAATTGTTCAGCTAACCGATAGTCAATACAAGCTGTATTCGCTCCAGTGTCGATTAGAACTTCACCACTTCGAACCAATTCACGATTTGGTTTACAAAGATGCATCATTACCGTTGGGATGTTCACTATTTGTGGGTCCATTTTCGTAATCATCGGTCGATTCTGTTGATTACAATTCACCATGAACATGAATTCGGATGAATCAGGTACTTTTGTTTCAGCTGAAGTTGAACTCATTAAGTTAGCACTTGTTTTCACTTGAGTTGAACTTTCAGGTTTCGCACTCTCATTGTTCTTGGGACAATTTCTCGCGTAATGTCCTTCACCATCACATTTATAACAAGTAATTGTTGAATTTGATTGATTGTTACCTCGATTATTTGGTACAGGATTACCTTTACCTTTTCTCTCATGGATACTTTTTCTTTTCTCTTCCATTTGTATGAAATACTTATGGATAAGTAAACCAAGTAAAGAGTCCAAATCGGTATTTGCTCGTACCTCGATTACCTTTTCTCGTAGATTTCTTGGTAAGTGTTCCAACACTTCGTAAAGAAAACCTTCTTTAGACATTTTTCCTTTTACCTTAGTAACACGATCTCTTAATCGGTCGACGAATTGAGACGGATGTTCATCGAAACTATATACCATCGAGCTTAATTCCGCTTGAGCTGTTGCCAATGCCGTAGGACCACGAAGATAGCTTTCCAAAGCTTGAACATAACTCTCATAGGTATGCTCTTCCTCATCCAACGTGTCCGCTGCATCCAACAATTCAAAAGCCAACGCTTTTTTAAGCACTCGTAATCTGGTTTCATCTGAAACATTCTCGTATCGTAATTGCCTTTTCACATTCTTCAACCAAGACCAAGCATCAGCATTTTGTTTGAACAAGGGGATCACTGGATCCTTGGAACTAACATGATAAACTGAGGCTGAAAATTGAAATGTTGATTAGGTTCAAACGGTGTTCTTAAAGGTGAACGGTGGTGAAGTAACTCTTTGAAGTTCGGCAACCAAAGGTTCCTCTTCTTCACCTTCATTGTCATTTTATCGATCGTAGGGTCATCATAATCCATTTCCTTTAGGATCATTGAGTCAAGTTTTATCACTTTCTTGCAGTTGACGTCTTAGGTTGAATCGAAGTCCACTTTAATCATTGACCAAATGATTCTTTTCGCTGGATTCGAGACATTTAGCTTTCTAACCGCAGCTCCGAAGCTGCTAATTACCTCTTGCTTAATACCAAGTTTCAAAACTATCTCCTTAATATCCGATTCAGGAATAGATTCCTTTCTCATCTCCTTTACCCACTCTGGAGTAATTATACCATCCAAGATATTAGCACTTAAACTCTCCGCGTTTACAGCACTATAATTCAATTTACACAATGCCAATTGTGTCACCACGGCGGATTTAAATAAAATCCTTTCATATGCTCCATTGGGCGATTCCAATCCCCAAGCCAACATATATTTAGAAATTTCACTGAAATATCTTTAACTTTCGGTTCCAAACCGACATCACCAGAGTTAGACATAATCACTTATCTCAAACGGCTATCCTGCCTGGGTCGCCAAGTGAAAGTGTTATATTTGAATTTATTTAAATGAAGAATCAATTAAATGTAGAAGATGCACTCAGGTCCTTTCACAATTTTACCTGATTTCGATTCGTATCTTGATAGTTTGTAGATTATGTCACTAAGGCTAAATCAGACTCACAACACTAATCACACTAAATTACTAGAGTAATTAACAAGACAGAATTTCAGGAACAAGAAAACTGAGACACTTTTATATTTGAACAAGTTGAAGATGAAACTAACTCTAATTGTTACATTTTTGGGGTTCACTATGTGAATTAGAACGGAAAGGAAACATCTTAAAGAATGTAATTGTTGTTGGAACAACACATTACTGGTTACATTTAGAAAACAAAATTAATTCACTTGGGACATAATTAAGAAAATATGTATAATTTAAGCCAAACTAATCTAAAAATTACATTTTAGAAAAGAACAAAAATGAAAATAGAAAATGAAGAAAGAGAACAAAGAAAAGAAAGAGGGAAAATCTTTGGGACTTTGTTTAAATTGCAATCCTATTGGTTCCAACTTAAATTCTCTTGACAATTTTGATTAATTGAAGTTAATCATGAGAGAGTCAAATTTACCTTCAGTACTATCAAAGAGTTTCCACTAAAAATTCATCTTGTCAACGTTGTGATGAGTTGTCACCACCGCAGTTTATTAAATGCTATAAGAGATCGATGAGATAATAGTTACGAACTATATAAATAGAATTGACAAATTTTATAATAGAAAAAGCTTCCAAATTTATTATTGTAATTTTCACATAAGAATTGTTGAATAACTGTTATTTAGAATGTATTGTCAATTTATATCATTTAATTCATCAAAGATTGTACATTCTAGTTACTAACAATTCTAACGGAATCATTTATGGTTCCTAATGGATAAATTATACGACTATTAACTGTAACACTTAATGTTTTAAACTCTTTTCTATGCTCTCTATTGTACTAATATTTGACATTTCAACTTAATCCCAAGAAAATAGTTCAATGAAATTTACTTTTATTATTACAATAATTTTTTTTGTGTTTCATTCTCAGGGACTTTACTATCTCAATGAACGTTATGGCGTCGAGGATGAAAACTTTCACCGAGACGAAGATGTTAACGCTTATAATAATATCGTTGCTGAATATGGATCTAGAAAAGAAGCGGATAAACGAAATGAATATCAAATGGATTGATTAAGTCCATAGGCTCATTTGATGGTCTATCGATTTTCTCTATTCAAACCGTAGGTTAATTTGATAATTTTCTCAGAAGTCCCTCAAGATATTTCACCTTTTTAAGTTTTATGAATTTGTATTAATAATTGTACAAAAAAATAATCCGATCAATTCTAAATAAGATCGTTCTCGCTTTATTAATTGACTCTTTCGACATCCAAGCCTTTAAAACAGTAAACAATAAACAATCTACGATTATCTATCACAATTAAAGATAATTGAATGAATGACGTTCAAAGAGTAGAGTGAAAGAGAGTGGATTGAAGGAAAATGTGTTAGGCATACAATAGTACGAGAGCCACTTGTTTTATCTTTCTTTTCTCTTACTTTTCACATCTCAAAATCTCTTTCTTTTGGTTCTCTTCTTTTCCTCTTTCTTTTTCTCTCTCTTTTCTCTTTCTTTTTAAGTCAAAATTATTATAATCGCTTTTAAGATGAATTTCAGATTATGAATTTGTCTGAAATAATGAATTTTAATATACATATGTACCATTAACGGGACGAGTGAGTCAGGTCAATAAGAAATTTAAGCGTTATAATCATTTAGTGCTGAGTAAAACAAGAATTGACGATTTCTAACGGTAATTTGGCCTCGAATTACTATTAAACTAATAAAAGAATTAATCTAGATGATAACTTTAAGGTACATTTAGAACTATTTTCGTTTGTAATTGACCAGAGTTTAATTTGAATAAAAAAATTCTATTGAAAAATAACGAAAAAGTCATCATCTAACTTTAATAATTTTGACTTAAAAAGAAAGAGAAAAGAGAGAAAGAAAGAGGAAAAGAAAGAGAAAGAGAACCAAAAGAAAGAGATTTTGAGATGTGTAAAAGAGAAAAAGAAAGAGAAAACAGAAGTGGCGACTCTCGTGCCTATTGTATGCAACACACATTTTCCCCTTGGTCTGCAGTCTCTTCTTCTCTACTCTTTGATGACGTTTGAGCACTAGAAGAAATATTTATTTTTGAATAGTTCTTACAAATCAAAGTTAACTGAGAAAAGTAAAGTTACTAATTTTTCTTTTCTTCTTTATTTTGTTAATTATTTCTGTATACAGATGATTTTAATTTAAAACGACCTAAAGTATTAGTAATATCAATTGAGTTTAACCCCTGTCCAATAAGTAATGAGAATTATTTGAATTCTAATTGTAATTAAAATTAGCGGTCAAATTGTTCTTGGTTACAATGTATCTAAGAGAGTAACTCTTTAGCTTCAAATTGACACCTTAATCATAGTTAGATCAGCATGGACAAAGAAAATAGAATTAAATTACGTGAAAAAGTGAAAATTTTGTCTGAACAAACACCGATTCCTAAAAAGTCTGATTTAGTGAAACATTTAGTTAATCAAGGTTACTCGTCATCAACTGTTTATCGGACTATTTCTCGAGTGCAAAGTGGAGGTTCAGTAATAGATGGACATCGTTCTGGTAGACCAGTGAAAATTTCCAACCTCAAAAAATCAAAAATTACCAAATCCGCAACCGATAAAATCGGACGAAGTTGTCGGAAGTTAGCAGAAAAATTTGGTGTTTCGAAGTCTTCGATTTCAAATATTCTTTCGAAAAATGGAATAAAGTATCGAAAGAGAAAGAGATGTCCAGATTATTCGGAAAAACAAATGGAGAAAATACCTAAATTAGCCAGGAGATTATATCGTTATCACCTTCGACCTGGAATCAAAGTTGTGATGGATGATGAAAAATATTTCCCTTTTTATTGTTCCAACTCACCTGAATTCAGTGGTTTTTATACAGAAAATTACAATGAAAGTCCCGATGAAATCAAGTTCAAAAAGAAAGCAAAATTCCAAAAAAAAGTTCTTGTTTGGTTAGCAATATCTGAAGATGGATTGAGTGAACCTCTCATCATGAAGTCAGGGAGTGTTTCAGTGAATCAGGATATTTATCTCAAAGACTGTATCCAAACAAGACTAGTCAAATTCATCGAGAAATATCATTCTGATGGTGATTATATCTTTTGGCCTGACCTAGCATCGAGTCACTATGGAAAAAGAGTCATTTCTTGGTGCAAAGAAAATAATATCAAAATTGTTCCTAAAGATTGTAACCCACCGAATTGTCCACAAGCGCGTCCAATAGAAAATTTTTGGTCAATTTTATCTTCTAAGGTTTATGCAAATGGTTGGGAAGCTAAATCATATGAGTCTCTAATCAGAAGAATTAAATTTTGTCTTCGTTCAATTGATCAAACTATGGTACAGCGAATGATGAACGGTATCAGGTCAAAGGTTAAAGAGCTTTACACGAACGGACCTTTGTCTTCTAAATTGATGAATACTTGATTCTCTTCTCTTTTCTCTCTCTAATGATATCTTAATCATGACCTAATTGTTATTAACAAGAGAAAAATTCTGTCTCAAAATAATTCTCATTACTTATTGGACAGGGGTTAGTATGAACGAGACCAAAGTGACCAAGGGACTATTATTAGTCACATTCAGCTTACTAAAGGTTCAAAAACTAAAGGATATAATTTTGTCAATTTCATGGTAGATGTTCAATAATAAAAGGAAAACGCAAGAAAATTAAGTGACAACAAAGGTACAGAAAATTAGAGAAATTAGAATAGCTAATCACGATATGAACTTTGAGGTTGAGTATTGAGTTGAAGCGCCAACATTGTGGGTAGTATTTTCTATCAAAGGACCATAAATCTTGAAATAAGCTCGATCTGATGTAACAGCCCAATATCTTGATCAATACTTGCGTATAAGCATTTAATAATCCAACGTTTCTTATGAGGATTCGTGGTGATTAATGAGAGCATACAACCTTCATGATAGTAACGTGTCCGGTATGATAGAGAAATTATTGACACCATTTTTAGCAATCTTATACGAACAAAAATATTGAAAATGATATGAAATTATTGTGTTGAATAAAAGTGGTAAAATTGTTTATCAAGATTTTGGCTAAATATTCTGTCAATTTCGCCTGTGATAGGAATGAGGGATTGATAAGCTATATGCTTTATCTCGCTCTGCTCCAGGCAACTGGACCCGGTCAAAGTAATACAATTAACTGGATGGGAATGCAAGTCAGACCATTTGTTAAGAGGCTGTGGTTGTAAGGATATTGAGTATTGAGTCGTGAACGATGTCGAAAAATATGGAAATGTAGTGACCAAATAACCAGTAAACCAAATTTACCTAATCATACAGATATTTGGAGTCGAGATTGTTCAGTATTCAGTCGTCCATTTTCAGCTGCATTTATCGAATATGATCTCATGAAAATATCATCAAGCCAAGAATGAATATAGGTAATGATAGAATTCCTTGTTAATTGAAGGTGGACGAGTTTGGATAGTAGTTTTAGAAGTAGTGAAGAATACGGATGATGCAACCGGAACTGACTTTCTCCCGAAGTGGAAGAAACTGTGCAGTGGTGGAAGCAATACTTCCGGTGGGAGCCACAGTGGGTGAAGTATCTTCCGGGTTCATCACCACTTCCGGTGGTAACAATTTTTACCTGATTTGGGTGGTAGTAACTAGCCACATAATAAAGATACCTATTAACCGAAGTTCCAGAAAATAATAAACTGTATTTTTAACGGATTTTTGAATAAAAGTGGTGAAAGGTTAGAAAAAGAGATTTAATGCTGAAGTTGTATGCAGGAGAAGGAGTTTTGTTTTGCATCTGGTAAAGTAACAGCAACGTTTTACTGATGTATCCAAAGTGAGCTGTCTTACTGTCTTTCCGAACAAAGAAACTTTTTCAATTTTCTTGAAAGAGTTTCCAGAGTTTCAGAGGATCTGGAAGAAATGGAGGTTGATCTGGACGATCCATCACCACCACCACCACCACCGTGTTCCACTGCTCCATCTTCATCATCACTGGTGATTTATCGTTATTTCCGCTTCATCAACCAATGAAAGCTTGAGACCATCACAAGTGCCCTGAGTTCAATAAATGAAACTCAATTATGGTTGCTGATAGTAACACAATCAAGCAACGGATCCTATTAACTGATTCCAGAATCAGAGATATTGGTGGTGTTTGTGAGTCTACCATGGACCAGGCCGAGGACATTTCTCGAAGACAAAAGGCCATGCATTTGCGGTGCTTCGAGTATTTGACCACAATTCGCGAGGATATTATCGGTAGGATCGATTTTACTTTTGAGAGCCAAAAGTTTGACCTACAAGGCCTTCGGGAATTATTCAGCTTTTTGACCGAGCAAATGATTATTTGCTTAAAGAAATCAATCGTTTAGCAGTTCACCCTAATATTTAAATCCTTTGCAATGATTAAAAATTTCAAATATTAATTTGCATAAAGGAAAAAATTTCCAAATTATAAATTTAACCACAAAAAAAGAACAGATTTTCATTGCAATAATTATGTTTTCGTTGCATCATGCAAAAGAATAAAAATCAGAACGTTTTCTAACATTAAAACAGTTAATGCAAACAATCATCGGGTAAAAGTAGAGAGAAAAACTCGCATATAATTATAAGACATTCAGACAGTTCAATGAACTGTCTGAATTCCCTGGAGGGTACACCAGAAAATTTTTGACCTTCCCACCCCTTCGAGTGGGCGTGGTCACTATGACTATTTTCTCTGCACACCTTCGTGCAAATTAGCTGCAATGGTAATCATAGGTTCAAAGTAACGTAAATACTATACAGATCTGCTTGGATTGATCAACCGATTTGGCTAAAATTTGATCTAGACTGTCGTGTTCATTACGTTTAGTTCTACAAAACGCAATGCATAGTGGATAATAACACTAAAATTGGTATTAATATATAGTTTATCGAATGACCTTGGAATGACCTTGACATTTAGGTATGACCTTGAACATGTTCCACATGTGATATAGTGCAATAGTTCATACTAGTTCATGCGTTATATGCTAAAACCCGTTTAAACCTATTTTCAATCGGTCACAAGTATCAAACGGATATGCCGATTGAACTGAAATTTTGGTCATAGATACTTGGTACTATGATGTACATACAGGCTGAAAATGGCTCAGATAAAAGCAATAAACGTGTTATAATAAAACTTATTATTTTCCCATAGAGCTCTATATAAAATCGACTTTGTCGCGCCGTAGCTCTGCGCACAGTTTCCTCAAAATTCCATTAACATGTGCATTACTATGTGTGACAAGATTATTCACAAGAAATTTGAGTCGATATTCCAGGGTCTTGTTCTAGAATATAGCCCTCGATCATTCTTTTTGTAGGTACATTGACGCGAATTTCGCCATGAACTCCATTGTCCATCCTTCTTTCATTTCCTGGATGCATACCTCATACCATTTAAAATATCCCAAAACTTTTCATCGGTCAGCTGTCGCTCTAGTGTTGACTAAAAACAAGAAAAGTAATTGAAACATAAAGATTTATGTGAAAGGGTAATGCATAGTAAAATTTAAGTAAACATGATGAATATAGTTGATGTTGATACAGTGTTGTTAAATAAGACTATGATGAAATTTTGTTCTTTCTTTTATACTAAAGTTTTGGTCAAGGTAAAGCAATGAATATAGGAGCAATAAATATAAGATTTTGCAAGCAGTTTAATTAAAATTAAACAAAAAAGTTTATAATAAAAACAAGATTGAAAATGAAAACAAAAAGAAAGAAAAGAATAAGAATAAGAACAAAATAAGCTTTAAAAATATAAGTAAAACAAAAATTAGAAATAAAAACAAAAATTCAAAGTAGTAGTCAATCAAGTTCTAAGGATCATTCTGAAACAACTGCAATATGGATTAAAACCAGGTTGTCAATTGGCATAAAATTGGCTTTATATCCTGATAACCATAATAGAGAGCCGCTCTAAGCTTTGAACTTGAGCGGTTAACCATATGTTATTCCATGGTTTTGCCATTCGTTTGAATCTTCGATTTGATCAGCTTTTACGAATAAATTTGGACATAATAGTTCAAAAATCCACCAGCTTGGGTTTGCTAGTCGTCCACCATGCTGTTGAGCATAAAAACCAGCTCCAGAACAGCTTGTCATCAAGTCGCCATTCCGCCAAATCTGGAAATTCTATGATAAGAAAGAAAAAAGATGAAAATTATTAGTAAAATTAACGTTAG